GATGATTATGATAATAATAATAACAAGAAGAGTAAAAGTTATATTACTCCTGCTAATAATAATAGCAGCATTATCATTAACGACAACAGTAACATCAATAATAAAATAATAACAACAACAACAACTAAACAACAAAAATAACAACAACAACAACAACAACAACAACCAGTAAGGGCCTATCTGATGCACTAACTTCTCTCACTTCTTTTTTTTACACTGTGTTTAGCTGTACTATAGCGGTGAATGAGTGTTTTCTTTCACTGTGTTCCACCGGGTATGTGTTTTTTTACACTGTGTTTAGCTGTACTATAGCGGTGAATGAGTGTTTTCTTTCACTGTTTTTCCAGTGGTTTGTTTGTATTATAGCGTTTCTTGTGTTTGTTCGGGTACATGCTGTCGCCACCAGGGGGCGCCACTGAACTGACCACGGTCCTTCTTTCAGGTTCAGAGACTCACTTCAAGGTTGTCGTTGTATCGCAGAAGTTTGACGATCTGCCGCTGATAAAGGTGGGCTGGGACTGTAATCAGTGGTTCTCTCTATGTCGCTGTATCTCTCCCTCCTCTCTCACTCTCTTCTTTCTCTCTCCTTGTCTCTCTCGCTCTCTCTCTTCCTCTCCCTCACCTTCTCCCTCTTTTCTCTCTCTCTCTCTCTCTCTCTCTCTCTCTCTCCTTCTCCCCCCTTTCGCTCTCTCTCTCCTTCTCCCCCCTTTCGCTCTCTCTCTCCTTCTCCCCTTCTCTCTCTCTTTCCCTTCTCTCTCACTCATTTCACTCTCTTTCTCTCTGTTAGCTCTGCCCCTTTCTCTCTCCCTCTCCCCGTTCTCTTACCCATCTCTCTCTCCCTCCCTCGCTATCTCTCCCCCTTCTTTTCTTAACTACTCAACACTATAGCATTTATCAGATTTTTTCTCCATGAAAAAAACTCTTGTCAGTACATGTATTTGTATCTGAATTACTCAATAAAGATTTAATATAAAATAATAATAATAATTCGTTCCGCGCGTATCGCATGAATAACGTTACCTGCATGTTTCGTGTGTTTCAGCGTCAATCGCTGGTGAATTGAGATCGGTGAAGGAGAGCTAGCAGCGACCGTGCACGCCTCTCTCCATTACCGTTGAGTAGCTATCCGCTCTGTAACGTCTGCATTCACCGTTGCTCCGCGCTGCCGCATGCTCTACGCCGCGACGCCGACGCGTTAAGCCTCGCCGTGGTAGCAATGCTTGATATTAGGGAGCAGCAGCGCTGCAGCGAAATGTGGCGGCGGCGACGTGGTGGATGGTCTCCGGTGATGTGATCAATTCTGGAGCGCACAATAGCGCGACGGCAGGTTAGCGGCGACGGCGCGGTGCCGGCGACGGCAGCGGTACGGCCAGCGGCCAGCGTAGCGTAGACCGGCGTCGGCGCGGGCGGCGGCAGGCCTCTTACCCCTATGATGGCGATTATCATTTGGCTCGTTGGTTGTATAGTCCCATTTACGCGCTATCCGACACTGATAAAAATGGTTCGTTAAAATTCATAGCGGGGTTGCTCGCGGCGCGGGAGGCACGGGAGGGAGTGAAGCCTGGCGTTGAATGTGAAGAGATTTTGAAGAGGAACATGCCGAGTGAGCTGGTTTCAGGTCGAGTGGGGGGGGGCGGATGCGATGCTGCCTCTATTGTTTTATAAAGGCTGGACCACGGCGTCTGTACAGGCGACGCTCACTGCTAGAGATTCCTACTGCCTCTGCCGTTCCATGCCGACGTATCATGTCTCGTAGCGCTTGGTATTCCATGTGATGCAACTTTAATCTGTTTCACAGAAAAAGCAAACGTGCCATTTACATGTACGTACGCATGTATAATCTACATATATTATCCTCTCTCTCTCCTATTATATATATCTATAATATGGATCATATCATCTGTTAATGCGTCTAGTCCATAAAGATTTCTGCATACAATATTCTGCGACCTGCTGAACCATATAGAACTAAAGGACACGTTAGTAGCTATTCGGCAGTATCGGTTATTTATTACGCTTCAACTACTTCACTAAGTTGTACACCTTATACTATACCTCCACTCCACTGCTTCTAGTTTAGCATCAGCTTCTCACCTAGAGGCATGAGAGTTTAGAAGTTTCCATGCGAGGCACTCAGTCTGTTCCAAACGAGAACATGCCACCAGTATGAATACATAACTCAATGTAGGCGCACTCGAATCTGCCTGGTAGTGACTCGTCACTCACATACACGCGCGCGGCACGCACGCACGCCACGCACGCACACACACCACACACACAAACCACATCGATACTGCTCTAGTACTATAGCCCGCCGTACAGTCGATACATTGCTCAGCCCGGTCTGCCCAGAATCGACTGCATTGTCATAACGTTTGTAGCCAATTAATGCACACACGCGGCCGCACGCGCGCACGCACGCACGCACGCATGCACACACACACACACACACACACACACACACACGAGCGCCGCCGCGCGCTGGCATACAGGTGCCTAGCTCTAG